TAGCTCCAACATCCTCCCTGAACTCCAAACTGTTTCCATGACATCTATTTTAGATATCTGTCTAGTAAATCTCTCAAATTTAACATGTCCCAAAACAAATGCCATGCCATAGTCTGTTTTCAATTCCAAACTGCTCCTCTCCAGATTTCTATATCTAAGTAAATAGCACCCCTATTGCCTAGCTGTTCAGGCTGAACATTTTGGAGTCAGTACATATGCCTCTCTTTTTCTTGTATCCCATCTGCAAATCTTGTCAACCCAGCCTTCAATATATAGCACCAAGCCCATCTTATCTTCCCTTCTCCATCATCTCCACTTTAGCCCAAACCATTACCACCATCTATCTACTTCCATACTTGCCTCTCTATACTCTCTCCAGAGCCTATAGAGTGATCCATTTAAATATAATCAGATTATTACCTCCCTGTTCATTACCTCTCTACTCAAAGTCCCCCCCCAACCCTTCTCAGATTAAACTTCAAATCCTTGTCATGAATTACAAACCCATATGTCTGAACAGGTTTCAGAGTTTTCCTTCTTTTCAAAGATTTATCTCATCATTAAAGCTTTAGTAAAGTGAAAAATCTACCAGCTATGTTATCTATATTCATTCTGAATATAGAGACTTTCCAGACTTCAACCCTCTAGAAGTAATGCTTGAAGTTTTCCTTTGCGTTCAATGCCTAAGTCAAATATCCTCTCTTCTGTCAAACCTTCTCTTTGTCCACTTTCCTCCTACTCCACTTCTAGTCCCAATACCTGCAAAATAAATGGTTCTTTCTGTACCTCCTTAATTTCAAGTTCATATGTATAGATTGAATGGAAACCTGTGGAACTTGTGTCTGCCCTTGCATTACTACTGTGGAAGGGACAATAAATCTATTAACTCACATTTTAAAGGTATGCATAATACCATACTTAATCAATTCCAAGACTCACTTTTTTCATATTTTAAAGACTGAAATTGAGATGTGTCTTACAATTGACATATATAGAAAACATAGTTAATCTGTGTTTTTTCTTTCTTGGTGGTACATAAAATGATGGTACCTTAAATTGATGCTATACATTTTATTAAATATGAAATATAAATCTTGTGTGTCTATGTTCCTCATTCCTCACTAGCAAAAATTTAAAACAACATCATTCCATATGACAACTGATTATTTTTGCCACTGCTGGGGTTCATTTCTTCTTTTTTCTTTTTCTTTTTTATTTTCCTCCGAGGATGAATACCACACTGCTGGGGTTCAAATAATGATACCTCAAAATATGGTGCTTTGGCAGGCTGACAACTTTGAATTAAAGGAAATTAAAAGGATCTCAGAAATAATCCTCAAAACCAAGGTCTCTCTCTCTGACCTTCCCCCGTCCCATTGTCTCTCTGATCCTCTTACTTTCCCTAAGCACCAGGAGGGGCCGTCTCTGGAATTTCCTTATCTGATTGAGGAAACTTATTTCCCAAAGAAATGCAATTGTCTTAAACTCCTTTTCTAGGAATTACATTAAATAACCAGAAAAAATTAGCCACCAGAGAAGAGAATAGACTAAAAGTAATCACCATGCCCACTTAGACTTTTCATTTCTACTTCTGAGGGCAGCTTGAAGAAATTACCTGGGAGATTTTGTCTGCATAATAAGACCATTTTTGCTCACAGTGAAGTTTCCTAGCTTGTCCACGGCTACTGTTTGTCCTTTGGTCTCATTCAGCATCCAAAGAGAATCATTTACAAGTCACATTGTGGTTTTTGGGCCCATTCATACCCCCATCTCCCTCTACCCAACAAAGAAGGATATATAAACATCTGGACCTTGTTGAGTTAATGGGTAATCACTCTCCTGTGATTTTCCCCCAGGTATGTTAAGTAAATTCTGTATGCCATTTTCTCCTACCAATCTATTGTTAGTTCATGCCAGCAAATTTCATAGGGCGGAAAGGGAAGTTTTCCCTCTTGGCCCCTACACCACACTAAACTTAAATATAAATTAAGTGATTTAGGAATGGTCTTAAATTCCTCACTTTCAAATTGCATATTTTGTATGTATGAAAGTGCTTGAGAAACTGCAAAGCCATGACACTCCAAAGACCTAAGAACCTACATTGGACAGCTAACTTAGTGCAGAGAACGAGCCTCACCCATTCCCGGGCCCGCCCCCACTTTACAGGTACAGGTACAGGACTCAAACTTCCATGGGTCACCGCGTTCAAGAGGCCACCCAAGGTCACCTTCTGAGCATGCGTGGGAAATAGCACGCTGGCGCGGCGCGCTCTGCGCATGCCCACACAGCGGCCTCAGGTCGGATGGCCGCGCTGCTCTGGTGGAAGCGGCTGAGCAGCCACAGTCTGGCATGAAGGGCTGGGGTCTGGCTGCTGCTTACTCCTCGCTCCAGCGCCATGGAATGCCTGCGGAGCTTGCCCTGGCTCCTGCCCCGCGCGATGAGACTTCCCCGGCGGACAGTGTGTGCTCTGGCCTTGGACCTGGCTTCTGCTGCTCGTCCCGTTGCTGCCTCCGGCCGCGCAGCCGACCAACTCGGAAGGAGCCTGGCTGTGCCGTTGTGCGGGCCCCACCGGCTCCGTGTGGCAGGTACTGCCCCTCCCCGCAGCCCCAGGACGCCGTTCTTGCAGTGACCTTAGGTCCCCGCTTCAGTCGCCCGGCGTGGCTGTGCTTGCCTCGCGTCCTCCACAGATCACGGCCTCCCCGTCGGGCGCCAGTGTGTCTTGTCAACTTGCACAGGTCAGCGGGCCGGCCTGCGTCCCACCGGCTCAGAACGTGACAGTGCACTGTGCCCTGCCGGCGTCAGAACCGCCCGGCCCTCTGTCTCCTCCCCCACAGCCCTTGCAGCAGATTTTGTGACGATAATAGGAACCGTTTACAGTGTTCACGAGATGCGTTAGTTCACACCCACCTAGGTGCTCTTGTGAGTTTTTGGTTTTTTTTAAGAGTTTCATCCTTATTCATCATAATAGTTCCGAAGTCAAGATTGGGATGTTTTTATAAGTATTAATTTTTCTTCCCTGTCTTCTGTTTCTTCTTCATGGACACATTTACACGCAGATGGGGGCGGGGGGGGGGATGCACCTAGAAGTGAGGCTGAAGACTTTGGGACCACATGGTGAGAGTTGCCTCTGAGAATGAGCTAACTTTATTTTCAAATACAGTACTGTACAAGTAAATAGCTAGAGGGATCAGAGTGGTGGAAAAAAAGGAATCTGAGTTGGTTATTTATTTTTTCACCAAATGTTGAAGCATGTTGATAAGATTGTAACAAATGTGAGTGCAGATATTGCTCAGAAACAAAAATATATGACTTTATCAAAAATAAAGCATTGGCCTTCAAATACATTTTCTCAGTTGTGCTCTCAAAAAGCCTCCCAAAGTCACTCCCCATCACCACCTTCTTCCCCACACTGTCCCAATTCGGAGAGCCATTCCAAATTGGGTTACATTACATGTTCCCTCCTTTGATAATCCTTGAGAACTCAGTTTCAGCAAGCTGGGGGAACCTTCTAGGACAAGCATTGAAACTCAGAATCTCAATCCTGGTTAAACTCTAACTTGTGACTGATTACTAAGTGCTTTTTACCTTTATCCATATTACTCTTATAACAATAGTGTGTATTTCGTAAAAGGGAAAGAAAAAACTTCAGATATTAACAAATTATGTGAATCATTGCATGTATATAACAGGAAAGAAGAGCAGAAATGAGAATTTACACAATCTCTAGTCAGTGTGATTACTTTGCAAACATAAAACAGTAATATTTGTTGGTTGTTAAATTTACTTGATTATACTTAAGAGCCCACTGCAACTCAGTCTAATCACGTGTTTCAAATAGACTAATTTTCAAATAAAGATTTGCCTTCCAGTTTGCTGGTGTCCACATTCCAGTTCAGTGGGGTATTTCATAAGTATTCACTATGAAGTATATATGTAGAAAAGAAGTAAAATGTGTAGGTTTCATAAGTTATAAGTCAAATAATTATATTGGAATGCTGAAAATTCAGGTGGTACTTGGGACCTATGTTTCCTAAAGTATATCAATATAATGTGCATGAAGAGCCATTTAAATCATGCAAAAAGGAAGACCAGACATTTTTTTTAAATCTAGAGCACCGTGTCATACATTTGTTCATACATCTCTGAGATATCAATACTAATTAGAAAGGGAAAAGAGTAACTGGGATCCGTAAATTATTTTAATTCCTTGCCTAAGCCATTTTAAAAATCATTCCCTGCCAAGCCTACAATAATCATACACAAATATTAAAATTAACAACAGTATTTCTTCTTTTTCCTATAGGGAAAAAGCTCGAAAAGTAATAAAATGGTCTGAAGGCTTCCATGTACTACGAGAGTTGTATCTTAGCTCTAGGTACCAATTGTATGATTATAAGGAATTCTCTTAATTCATTCTTCAGGTGAAATACACCGGTTTAGAACTTCTGATGTCTCTCAAGCCACTTTAGCCAGTGTAGCCCCAGTATTTACTGTGGTAAGTATGATAACTTACAGAAAGTACTTCCCATACTTATTAAGTTTATTGAGTTGGACTATTGGCCAAGATATTACTTATTTTTTGTTTTATAATGAATCATTATAGTTATAAATCATGTCTCTGTGTGCCTCGCCAATGACCTGAGTGCCTACTAGATTTGCTTAACTGTGCTCTTGAAACTTTGCTTAATGACTATGGAGTTCTCTTTTTAATACTAGGACAGGTCATTCAAATCAGTTTAGTGATTCCTCTTGGAACACTCAAGATTTCACCCATGAGTATATCTTGAAGGCTGTTAGCCATAAAGGGCTTGAACCTGTGTTCTGCAAGATAATATGCAGAAGCATCTTGAAGGTAGCACAGAGTAGTATTTAAGAGTGCTTGTTGGCAGGACACGGTGGCTCATGCCTGTAATCTCAGCACTTTGGAAGGCCGAGATCAGCCTAAGCAACATAGCAAGACCCCATTTCTACAAAAAAAAAAAA